CAAATTCTGAAGATGATCGTTAATCTGGTGAATAGTAGTTTATTAATAAAACATTTCATCGCGGAAGTTTATTTCGGTATTATTGAATCATAATGAGACATAATAAGCTATTTTTTACCAGAATATACAGCAGAGGTTGCAAGGCTGCTAAGAAATGTAGGAGGAAAGCGTGTTAAAAGTGTACAGCGGCCGAAGCGGGAAGGATGGAAACAGGGTGAGAGTAACGAGGGTGACGAGGATAATGAGAGCCAACGGCTGCAGCGAGCACTAACGAAAGCGGCGGGCGCGCGCCCTTGGCTGCGAGGGCGGGGCGGCGGGCAACGCTAGGGACCTCGTGCTCTCGATTAAGACAACACACGAGCGCGGCGCGCGCAATCGAAGCGGGTGGACACGGCCGCCGCCATGAATGCTAATGGGACCCCCATCGGCCGCCGTTGAGCCCCGGGAGAGGACCCTCCCCGCCCCGCCCAGCTCTCCCACCCGCACCCCCACCGCCTGCCGCTCCCCAACCCGCTACAGACCGCACCACTCCCACTCGTGCTGCGCGCCGCGCTCAGCTTATCTCACCCTCCCCTACCACCCACCCTCCCAACCGCACCCTCTCACATCTTCCCCACCCCCGCCCTTCTCCACCCTCGGCTGACCCGGACCTTCCCGTCCCGCTGAATCCCGCATCACCCGTCCCACCTCTCCCCATACGCACAAACATTCTCCACCCACCCTCCCTCCCCTACCCTCTTTTTCCCACCGAGATAATCCCCATCCACCCCCTCTCCCCTTCTCCCCTCCGCTTCGTCGCTCAACCCCGCCCTCGCCCTCCGGTCGTGCGTCGACCTGCGGGCAGGCGGGCGCAGCGCGCGGAGCGAGAGCCTGCGGACGAGGACTGAGGACGGGGAGCAATCACGCCCACGACGCGCCGGAACGCGAGGCGCGCGCCGCGAGGAATCCGAGGAAACCCGAAATCTCCCCCCAGGACTCCGCCCCCCCCGCGCCCGCCACCCGCGCCGCCTCTGCCGCCGTCCCTGCCGCCGCCGCCCCACGCCACTCCGCCCTCGACTTCATATCGAGATGCTTGGGCGACGTCGGCAGGTATTGTGTGCGGGACTCTGCCGGCGACGGAGGCGGCGTCGCGGGCAGAAGGGGCGGAACCGAGGGTAGATTTGGTTGCGGAGATGGTGGCCAACACGAGAGTGGTGGTGAAAGAGGGTTACGATGTTGAAAACTGGGCGGCAAAGAAGGCTTTGAGGAGTGCGTTGAGAGTGTGAGGCGCGGCAGTGTGACGTCTATCGCGGAGGAAGAGCGACCAGAGAGACTGCGAAGTTGGGGTGAGGACGTGAGGGGGGGAGAGGTTAAAATTATGATGACAGTCCTTGCAGTCAAGCGATTTTATTAAAAGTTTCAATAGAAATCTTAAAGGTGGTTTCTCGCCTGGGATGTAGAGTTTTCAGAATGGCATTTCATCGTATTTAAAATATTATAATTAAAATAAATATTGCCCTTCTCCTGGTCCTATTTGCTCCGGTAATAAGGATGAAGATGTTGAAAACCGTAAATAATAAAATAGTGTTGACAATTATGCGAAAAATTTGCTCAAATCAAATTTATTTTGACAAAAACCTTCACAATTATTTCCACATGAATCACTTCCTTTGAAAATATATTTTGTTATTTTCTTATTGACAATTTATTTCATATAATGTGCTTCCAAATGCCAATTCCAATACTAAACGATGTATAAGTTCTACGTCCCGTTTCTTTCTTTTTTATATGGATGTGAATTAAGCAATATAATACTATTCTCAATAAATGAACAAATTATCAAATACGAGACAATGAATAAAAATAAATTGAAATTAGCGGTCCCTTTGTCATACTCCATTATAAACCCGTTATGATGAAATGGTACTAGCTCTGGATTTCTATTTTTGATGTTGTTTTTATAAATTTGTTCGTTTTTTGTTCTAACAAAACTAGACTTCGTTCAGGGAGTTATTCTTGTCCTTACAGAAATCAAGTCAATTAATGAGCAGATATTTTACAATGTATATAATTGAGTGAATTGCCTAGGTTTCTCTGCTACAACAGAACTGATCATGTTCTAAAGTTTATATCAGTCTGCGTGCAGGGAGAAGCTGACGTTCACCTGCAACAGAAGGCTTTGATACGTGTTGCCGTTAAACATGTTTTACAACCTGTCAAGAAGCACTTCTCTCTGATCATCTCCCGTTTTCCAAGAATTGAGTATGGAATCAAAGTACACAAGAGAAATGTATCCCCTGTTTGTATTATAGGTAGATAACCGAAAGAAGCGTTATTGGAACGTTAAATATCCTCTGTGTAGACATAACTTTTGTGTCTCAGAAGTATGCGCAGAGACGCGATTATCATGTTTAAATTAGAGAGTTTATTCTGAATGTCGAGTAAATCTAGTAAAATGAGAAATGTATGGCATGTGTAGTAAAATGAATATGATGGAATCGTCAAAGGAAAGCACGTATTATACACGTTCTTTGTAATAAACAAACAGAATATTCAAACATCGTTCAAAAGCAAAGAACCTTTTTAGCGTTCCAAATGATACAATAATATACAGATTGTCATAATTCATAACTCACTTATTTCCAGATAACTTATTTTGCTCTTTTTACTGTATAAGGCGATATAAGCAATACAGGAGAAGTAATTCATAATTTCTTAATGGATAATTTAAAATAAAATCTGCTCTTCCAATACCAACAAAAATAAGCAATATATCATTGACTGAAACGGCAACATTTTTGTTTGTTGAAAAGTTTTGTGTATCAACATTCGTAAGTCTTAATTTTTAGATAATACTTTGGGACAACCCTGCTTTCCTCTTCAGGGAGGAATTTACGCTCACCCTCCAGGGAGCAAACTCATGCTGCAAACATGCGGTCCTTATAAAAAAAATTTTAAAAACCGAACAAACAAGAAATCGTTACAGATTTCATTATCTCAATAAAAAAATACAAAAACTTGAATATTTTTTCAACATATTACCAGATGATGTGAAACGATTAAAAATGAACACTCACGTTCAAGTTTCAAGTAAAATCTGTTCCTATAATGAGCATCAAGAAACAAAATAATAATGATAAGAATGATATTTAATGCATTAGATACCTTTTGTAATGTATAATTATAAAAGACTAAATATGCCTGTAACAAGTATTATGCATTATCTTCAGGGCCAATGAAAATCACCTCGATCAGGCTTTTCATCCAGGAACGAAGGATCGCGGGTTCGAGACCCGCCTCGGGCATGCTTGTATTTGTGTTCGTTATTTCACTCCCTATCATCCCAATATCGTGTCACCTTCACAGTTGCCGTACCGTTAAATGCAATAGGGGTCGCTAATGACGTAGATGTTTATGCGACCTTAAAAAAAATACTTTTCAATAAAGTAACACTTTTTCGTAACTACATCTTTATATCCACCCGAAGCTGTCACTAGAACAAGGTATATCCGCATGAACTGGCACTTTTACATCTTCTGATAGCTTATCTCAATGCCTTCTCTTAAGAAAATTACGCTTTATTCAGCTGATATTGTTTCGTCGTGGTTCATGGCAAAGTAGCCCACAGCTGTTCCCGAATGCTTCCGGAATATCCCGATTCGATCCTGATACTTGTTTTATCGACATAGTTTTTGTTAGAGTACCAAATGTAATTGAGAGCGTTTTATTATCCATTACGAGTTGGCAATCGAAGAAATCCGAAACATTTCAGAAGTTTTGTCATCTGTTGTTGAAACGAAAGATTGTTTATGAAATATTGAGAATGTTCTCAGAAAACTAGATCGCCATTCTCCGAGTAAGCTACATTTGATTTTGAGATGTTATTCACATGATACTAACTATTTGACAACTGCTCGTCTAGTAAATGTGCTGTAGAAATTCGAAACACTTAAGTTTTTCTGAAAGATGAAGCTGCTATATATTTAAAACACACAACCGTTTAATCTTGCTTTATATTCGAATATGTTATATACTGCTTGCGACGCATATGCCATTCATCGTTTTCGGTCGTTCGGTATTTTCGCACTATGAACCATTTATATTTCCGCTGGGAAACAAATATTCCTCAAATCTTCAAGCAGTTCTCCACTTTCACCGCAACCTCTGCTAAAAGATGCTCTTCCTGACTTCATGCCACTTTGGACGAGGGACTTCAATGAAATATTGAATATTTTGGTAAATCTCCCTAGAGAGCAAATGGGCAAATTTTGGTAAATCTCCCTAGAGACAATTGGAGTTTACATAGCTCACCCAATTAGAGACAAGGGATCAGCTGATACGAGCTAATTGGAGACGAGTGATTAGTATTGTCGGTAACTTAGGAATATGTTAAGTGAAGTGAGTGGAAAGATAGGTCGCAGACGCTATGCCTAGAAATGACTTTCCAAATAGCATAGCAGGTGACTTTTTTTCAAAGCAGAACATACTATAAATATCAACTAAATATACCTCTGTAACTTTCGACTAAAGAAATTCTCTCATTACGAAGTAAAGATAATTTAGGAAGAGCCTATTTCATTATCGGAAAATTGAAAACATTTTTTGTATACTGTTACTATGAGTTTGAGTAGAATGATTTTCTTGGCTTTTTAAAAACAACGGTTCAGAAGTTTTATTTTGTATATGTTCATGGAAGAATTTTTCGTCACTTATGTATTCATTATAAATAAATTCTTATATTAACTATTTTCATGTGCCTATTGAGGAATTTTGAGTCTTTTTGCTGCGTATTTTCAACTGGAAAGCCTATTTTTAGTTTTAATGCACATTTGTCCGCCAGGTTTCAAAAATCTTACTGACTGCATTGTAACCGTTACCTATCTGTGGAAAATAAGAACGCGACATTCAAATAGCGCGGGCCGTGCCCTCTGCAAGAGGAACTGCCCGCACTTATGTATATTCTTAGACAAATGAATTGTAGTGTCTCTGCCAACCGACGCGTGAGGAGGGGAGGCAGGTAGAAGACAGAACGAGGAGGCACGCAGCCATGGATCTACGGTATTTGGAGGATTTGGAAAGCCGTGTCGCCATACCCAGGGCGAATAATTTGGAAAAACGACACCGGAGAACGAACGGCCCGGGGTGTCACTTGAAGGTCGCTGCGTTGTGGACAGCTGGACTCGAGGAGGGGAAAAGCCAAGGTTACACAACGGCATCCGAGGAAGCACAGGTAATACCAACGCTTGTGGCGGCACTGTAACGCCCTGCGAAGGAAATGTTTTTTTGTACTTTACCCAGGACAATAGCAATCCACAATTTCTTAATTGTGTGATAGTTATTCCACGTGCGCGTGAAGGACTTTGCTATTGAATCGTTGTACTTATTTTGCTTGTAAGTCAAACTACTAAAGGAGAAATGGACTAGAAATATAATTTTTCACGACATGCAGACAAGGGAATTTGTTCAAGGTTACGGCGAGCGCGGTGCTAACATAACGGTAATTTGTGGTAGCATACAACAAAATAAACTGGTCACAGAATTACGTCGAATTGTGAAGAGAAAGAGAGAAGTAGGGAAAAAGAAACTTGTTTGTAACCTCAAGAGTGGATATTTTGAGTTCTTGTTATTCAATTCTCTTGGTATAAGATACAACATTTTGGTATGCAAAGGCAAGGTAGTTAAACCACCATTGAATAGAACGATTGTGAATTGGATAGCTGATAAATTAATTGTATTGTTATGATAAGTGTCATACGTTTCAAATTAGTACGTGTGAAATATTGTTATTCTTGTGTTCTTTTATTCAGATACAGAATGTCAATAGAGGGAAATTTCATTGAGATTATGATGGCCGTGGTAGTTAAGACGTATAAGGAAATACTTTTAACCGTGTAAATATTTAATTGTGTGTGTTTATGCAGATTGAAAGTTGTGTAAGCATTTGTTATTTTCTAAGTTTGTTTAGTGAAAGGGTCCAAACATTATTTCTTTACTAATTTTGTAAAAGGGAGTAAAAGGGAAAATAATTTTTTTTGTTATGTAAGGTCGCATCAACTACTAGGTCATTAGCGACCACTATTGCGAGTAACGGTATGGTAAATATGAGGATGACACGATATGATGATCAGGGGTGTGAAAGGGCGAACACAATACAACTCGATACATGCTCGAGGCGGGATTCGAACCAGCTATCCTTCAGTCAGAGATCACTAAGGCACTACTTAGCAATCTCGGCCATCCGCACCGGTGAATAATGATTTTGTTTTATGTTTAACAATATATTTATTTTGTTTGACATTTTCTGGATATGTGTTTCTTTACCTAAGACGAGAAAGATTTTTTTCACATCTAATTACAAAATCACAGTTATGAACCTCCAAGTTATTTGGAAATTAAAAGAAGTTTTAATATGTCCAACCTATGATTAATTCAGCAAGAAGGTGTACAGGATTTAAACAATTTTAGTAGCTCTTGCAAATTGTATTTGGTTTTACGTTTTAGTCTGTTTCTATTTTTCTTTAAAATTTCAACTTCAAAGAAACAGTTTTAAGTTAGGTACAAGAATCGCGTAATCTACAACAGATCACTTCTAGAATTCTTTTCTTTTCGAGGTATAAAACTTAAGTACCTATCATTTCCTTTTTGCATATTGTCTAACCTTCCGTAATTGAACATCCTGCCACGAAGAGAGATGAAGGGAAAAAAAAAGATGCACTCAGAGAAAATTCGTTTTATTCCCCCAGTGATTGCGCCTTCAAACACTTAATTGATACTTAGAATTAGAATCTCGGCCCTGACGCTCCTCTCGGGAAATAATTGTCTCGCGATGTAATTAGTCCGCTACCGAAGCGCCCCAGCCCCCC